TGTTGCGGAAGCCAAATGTATATAGTGTGAATAAGTCACAACTACTATACCAAAAATTATGACAGTCACCAAATAATAAATAAGACAATAAAGCAACAATAAAGGGAACACCAGAATTTACGAGGTTCGGCTAATTTTGCCTACTCTTCGGACACAACCAATATTTTATTTCACTCCAAAAATACAAGTGAAATAATACTAAAGAGAGAAGATACAAATGTCTTAAACAGATGAAAAGGCAAATGAGAGGTGTGTTTAAATCCTAAACATTAAGCCTTCTTTTATAGGGGGAAAATCCCCTCAACCCTTCTTTTCCCACCAATGTGGGACAAAAGATTTGCCAAATTCAACACTAAGAAGTTTTTCATTCGCAAATCGCAAGGCCCAAACCCGAGAGAGATCCCAACCATCCCACCACACTCCATAATGATATCTGTATTTAGCATTTTCGAATCCAGTTAATTGGATAGGTGGAGTTGCAAACGAACCTGATCTGGTATATTTAAGGTTCATTCCAGCCAATGACAGGATTCAATATCTAATTAAAGTCTAATAGCTCTTGCAGAAATGCAGGGTAAGGCTACGTACAATAGATCCCAGTGATCCGGCCCTTCCCCAGACCCCGCACATAGCGAGAGCTTAGTGCATCAAGTTGCCCTTTTTACCATGAAGAAAAAGAAAATAAGAAAAATATTGGAAGTTCCATTCTACTAAGAAAAATTATGAGAAAAATTACGTGTTTTCCTTGTCCATCATCTAGTTGAAAAGTACTGCATACAATGTTTTTGCCAGATGTTTGTAGCTACCAATACTACAATATAACTCCTCTCATCATTTTCTACACAAAATGGCACTTAGATAATATTTTTATCACTTAAACACAGTTTAGCAGCCTCTAAGTTCTGTTGACTTGGTCAATAGTGTAATTTCTAGTATACATTAATTTTGAAAAGTCTTCCATATAGGCTATCCACCACCCTATTTTTAATCATCTTATTTCAGATTTCATTAATATACACAAACAGAAAAATGGAAAACAAAACAAACATAAACCTCATTTTCTCTGTGTGTCTTTTGCTGATTCTTTTGCCTGCATTTGCATCTTCTACTTTGTTATTTCAGGTACCCAAGAAAAGAAAACTTTCTAGATATATAAAACAAATCCATTTATGTGCAGAAACATACTTTCTGTAGTATTTTATGTGAAGATGAACCATTGTCATTAAAATATTCAACTAAGTACTAGGTATTATATGTTTTTTTTTAATTTATAAAACAGGGATTTAACTGGGAATCGTCGGGGCAAGATGGAGGATGGTGGAACCATCTTATCAAATTAGTCCCAGATTTGGCTGATGCTGGAGTTACTCATGTTTGGCTTCCCCCTGCCTCAAATTCCCTTCAAAATCACAGCCAAGGTACTCTTCAAAAAAAAAAATTACGCTATCAGTGTAATTTAACATGTTATAGCAAGTTACCTACCTTATTTTCCAGGTAACTAGTTTTTCTTATCATGGACAATTACTTGTAAACATTTATGCTTCACTCTTTAGTCTTTAAGGAACTGGTCATACCATGTGACCTATTACTTTCAAACTTGTAAGTGGACTATGTAGAATTTAAGCATACACACAGAGCCTACGTAGCAGAATATTAATAGGATTGTACCTTCAGCCATTATTGTTCAAGCGTTATAGAGAATCACCTTTGGAAAACTTTGACAAGCCGGACTGATTGAGTCGCATATTTATAGGTAGGCTAGGGACTCTTAGGCAAATACTTTAGCCCCATGGACTTCTCCATAAAATATGATTGCCCTACGGACTCATAATTAATAGTTTCCTTCGATCAAGGAAACTTCTAGATTATCTGATAAGGTTATTAAATTAGACTTATATTTTCTCAATTTGTCAGGGTATATGCCATCAAGATTGTATGATTTGGACACATCAAGCTATGGAAATTCACGTGAACTTAAAGCCTTAATCAAAGCCTTTCACGATAAAGGAATCAAATGTCTTGCTGATATAGTGATAAACCATAGATGGGCTGAAAACAAAGATAGAAGAGGAATCAACTGTTTATTTGAAGGTGGCACGCCTGATAATAAGCTCGATTGGGGTCCGACCTTCATTTGTGGCAACGATACTAAATTTTCCGATGGCAAAGGAAATAATGATACTGGTTTAGATTGGGGAGATGCACCAGACATTGATCATGCTAATCCACAAGTGCAAAAGGATTTATCAGATTGGATGAATTGGCTCAAAACTGAAATTGGATTTGATGGTTGGAGATTTGATATGGTCTTAGGATATGCACCTAAGTTCACTAAAATCTACATGGACAATACTAAACCAGATTTTGCTGTTGGAGAATTTTTCTTGAAATTTAATAATAAACCGGATGGGAAACCGGACTATGATCAGCATAGAAATTATTTACTTCAGTGGGTTCAGAATGCAGGTGGTGTTGTGACAACATTTGATTTTACGACGAAAGGTATTCTTGGTACTGCTGTTGGGGATACGAGATTCGATTTGTTGAAAGATTCTAAGGGACATCCTCCTGGAATGATTGGTATTTTGCCTCAGAATGCTGTGACTTTTATTGATAATCATGATACTTATTCGCAACAGCAATGGCCATTTCCTACTAATCCAAATGATAAAGTTACTCAGGGATATGCCTACATTCTAACTCATCCTGGAATTCCATCAGTGGTATAATATTTCTTCTTTACAATACTATTTCAGCCTCTGCAGTTTTTCCATACTAGTTGTTATAATTGGATGAAACTGCAATGATTTAGATTAAAACAGGACGAGTTGCGCGTTACATCTGATAGAAAACAACCTTAGCATTTTTGTGAACTCCCTTTTGTAAGCTTCACATAATTGTTTCCTAGTCCAGACGAAGAGGTTTGTGATAAGCTAACAACTCGAATAGGAAATAATACATAGAGGTCATGTCGTGGCATTTTAAGAGGCAGTCTGGTGCACAAAACATGCAGCATTCACACAGGGTTCGGGGAAGGGCTGCACACCAAAGAGTGTGATATAGACATGCAACGTATATTGATGCAATGATTAGTAGCTGCTTCCACAACTTGAACCCGTGACCCAGTAGCGTACGCAGGATTTTTCATAAGCGGTGTCATAGTTTGAAGAAATGAACAAATAAATAACTTATTTTAGTTGTAAGCGGCGTCATTTTTTATATTTATCCCCATTATTTTTATTTTTCTTATAAATAACTAGTAAAAACTTTTGATGAAGCGGTGTCCCGTGACACCGCATAGGACAAGGTTTATATGCCACTGCCGTGACCTATAGGTCATACAGAGACAACTGTATCGTTGCTCCAAGACCCCACTTCATATCGTGGCATCTAGTTTAGGAAAATTGATTGATTGAATAAGAGAAAAAAAAAGCATCAAGTTTCGTCTAATTGAAGAGCACTATTCTTTTGTGTTTTGTGCAGTTCTATGACCATTTCTTTCTGTTCCAAGGGATGAGGAAACCAATCAAAGATTTGTATGCAGTTAGGAAGAGGAATGGAATTTCTGCAACAAGCAAAGTGAAAATTTTGGCAGCACAAAATGATCTTTATGTGGCAAACATTGATGACAAAATCATTGTCAAAATTGGACCTGGCAATGTTGGAAATCTTGTTCCATCTAATTTTCAATTGGCAACATCAGGAGTTGATTATGCTGTATCGGAAAAGAAGGCATAAGTTCAAGACTCAGAGTCATCCGACAATCCAATATGAATAATACTAGCATTAGTATCAAAACATCAGGAAAAAATAAGGTTGATGATTATGTCCAAAATTTTTAGTTTGTGCTGTGTGTAAAAGTACCTAAGATCTAGGGACAATTAGTGATCAGCAATAAGTCATAAAATGATGATACTAAATTCTATGAATAAGAGGAGACACAATTCATGTGTCTATTTATTCTGATTTGGCTCCTCTTTCTCTAGCGCCTGCAATGCATTTTTGGTAGAAAATAAGATATTCAAATAAATAACTTTATAGCAAATGACTATTCATCTATTATATTTTCATTCAAATAGGCATCACACAACTATCAAATTTAAATAAGTTTCAAGGAACTTAATTCAATAATCTGCTCATTGAAACTAAAGTTAAATTACAAATTAAAATATTACTTAAAATACCTATAAATAATTTCACGAATTAAGCTCATAAAGAGCAATAATGTAATATTAGAAGGCTTTGAGTGTATTGGAAAAGAACTGAATCTAAATATGAAGATGACGTGTCATGACACATGGATTGGTCAAAAGGTCAAAACGCAATAAATAGCCAAGAAGCACGGGAGACAACAGATATGAGGAGAAGAAAACAACATAGGTGTGGACCGTTACTCAAATAGGTACGAGTCTCGTACCTATTCGAGTCATTTAAAGATCGGAAGAAGTTGAAGATACGAATCTGATGACGTAAAAGAATCTAGATACAGCATTAAATATCAAATACGTTAAAGAATTTGAATTAAATAGAAATGATTGTATAACGTTTCTTTTAATGTCATTTATTGCTCATAATTGTCTCATTAAGACAAAGGCATTACATCTTCTCCTAGAATCAACTATAAAAGGAGAAGGACTCAACATCTGTAAAAACGAGAAATATTATTGTGATTACACTGAAATACAAAATTACTTATTACTTTATTATTCTCAAAAGTCTTTTGTTATTTTCGTCTCCAGATTATCAGTAACCCGAATTTCTCTATATTTCTAAGCTTTGACCAAAGACTCAGATTTTTGGTTAAACAAATTGGTTCCGTTACTGGGAATCTGATAATCTTCTCTTTTAAGCTACATTCCAGACGTTGTTATCATCATGTCAAACAACAATAACAGTGAAAACACCTTGGGAAACCATGAAAATCAAATCCATCAAAATCAAGGAGATTTACATAACATTGACGTGGTTCCCTCCCCTCAAAATTCACCACGTCAATCTCGTGAAGGCACTCCTGCTCCTGAATCTCGTGCTGATCAACAAGAGCAATCTGAACATTTTGAAGGGGTAGATGAAGCTTTACAAAAAGTAATTGATGCACGGGTTAACCAAGCTCTTCAGGCTCTAGTTAGTCGATTACCTGTTGCACCACCCACACCTACACGTAATAAAAATACATTAGAGAATCCTCGTTCTGGCCTTGTTAATTCTGGAAATGGAAGAACCCCCAGTGAACCACAGGATGGAGAACCAGGTAATTCAAATAATTCTCATTTGCAAAATTTAGTATTAACTTTGCAGAAACAGCTTAAGGAACAAAATGAGCGCATCGAGCAAATCCCTGGAGTTACACCCGTAATTAAAGGAGTGGATGTGGATAAATACTCACAACAACCTTGGAAACCAAGTGCTGCTCCCCTTCCAATCCTTAAAAA